ACTGGGTGAGGCTGGTCGTCATTATTCACCTGTTTTATGGGTAGTCTTCCACAATCAAAGCTGGCCGTTGCCAATTGCTAGGAATTACATGGTAACAAAGCAGATGCCTGGCTACACTAGGCAACACGTCTTTTAAAAAAGCAAATTTGATTTTGACAATATTACCAAGGAATGCCTAAGAGACAAAAATACTAGTGGGATACAAAAATTATAACTGGTATGCCAGCCATCGCTGGCCTTTTCCCAGCAGTAACTGTTTCCAGGTAGTTAGGCGACAGGTAGGCTTTCTCTGTCTCTGGACTGTGTCTGTTCAGTGGCTTGGGTGTTAAGGGATATTGATAGACATATACTTTTTTTTTTAAAAAAAATTACATTTGTATTTATTTTATTGTGTGTCTGTCGAGGTATGCATGTAGAGATCCAAGGACAACTTGCAGGAGTTGGTTCTCTCTTCTGACATGTGGACTCCAGTGATCAAATTCGGGCCATCGGGCTTGGCAGTAAGAACAATACTACTGAGCTCTCTCACTAGCTCTAAAATATATATATATATATATATATATATATATATATCTGTCTAGCATTCCTAGAAAACTTTCAAGTAATGAAAACCATACACATCTTTTGAAAATGTGTCTTGATTCCTTCACTTCCTCAATAAGACCATACTCATACTTTTTCTTTCTTTAAAAGATGTTGCACACTGCCCTTCAAAGGCTGACACCATGGCATCGCCTCAACTAGAAGGTACTTAGGCGTTAGCTGGGCCACCACAGCATTGCCTTCACATCTGCGCACATCTGGAAGTGTCCCAAGACATTCTGGGAAAGTCACATCACTTGCTGACTGACAGGCACAGGGACTTGTTTCTGCTTTGATATCAGATGCATGAGAAGGCGGAGCGAAAGCTAAGTGAAGAAGCATGTAGGCTGATAGAGTGACGTGTTTATTAGCTCACAGTCTGTGATCCCCCTGATGAAACAGTCCTATAACATCATTAAAGCTTTCAACGGCTTTAGGATTCTGATGTGGCTTGTTCCGTCTGACTGACTCTAAAGATCACAGTGTAACTTGCCTCTCGCAGAAGTTTTGGGGTGGCCTTTGGTCAAGGGCTCTTATGCTCTTTCTTTGGGAAGGCCAGAAAGCACCAATTATGTCTCAGGAGAAAGCAGATCAAAAGCATTTTGGAAGCATTCAGGTATACATGGTGTAGAAATAAAACTGATGGTAAAAGTCAGGATGGAAGACACTGCTATCCTTTGCGGGAGTGGGGGGTGGGGGGTGAGCCCAGGGCCTGGTGCATGCTGGGCACATGCTTTCCCTCTGAGCTACAGGCCCAGCTAGGATCCTTTTTAAATCTTTTAAAATTCGTATTAATTTATTTGTTGGGATGACATGTGCTCTGTGCATTTGGATAACAGAGGACAACTTGCAGAAGTCCATTCTTCCCCCTCGGGCGACATGGGTCCCAAGGACTGAACTCAGGTCACTCAGGCATGGTGGAAAGCACCATTATCTGCTGAGCTACCTCACCCATTTTACCCTTTTATTTATACCTACGCGTACACTGCGAAACTCGGGAATAAACTGGACCTTTGAGGAGACCTACCTGAGGCATGAAGTGGAGTTCTTTTGGTGACATTGTCTTTCACAAAGATGGACGCGCCCTGGTTAACGAGAGCTTCCACACATTCCGTGTGGCCCTTGAAAGCCGCTAGGTACAGCGCTGTCCGGCCTTTCTCGTCCCTCATGTCCAGGTCCACTAGTGACTGGAGAAGGACCTCCAAGGCTTGGTGGTGCCCATTGTAAGCCTGCGAAGAGGAAAGCCACAAATAATCCCGTGGCAGCCACCCGAGGGGCTGAGCTTCCAGAGTCGCTGACTCCTGTGCGGAGAGGCCTAGTCCTATTGCAATTGATATGCCATGTTGGGTTGATGTCCCTGGGAGGCCTGCCCTTTTCTGAAGGGAAATGGGGGAGGGGAGGGGATGTGGGGAAGAGGAGATGGGGTGGAACTGAGAGGAGAGGAGGGAGGGAGAAATGTGGTCAGGATGTAATATATGAGAGAATGAATGAAGGGATGAGTGAATGAATGAATGAATGAATGAATGAATAGACAAAGAAGGAAAATAGCCCATTGGAGCAACACTTGGGATGGACTCTAAAGCCAGTAAACGGAAGTCGGACTGAAGCACTAATTCACAAACCTCTGGTTTCCTAGAAATGTCCTTTTCCTCAACTGTCAACGTTTGCTCAAAGGCATCCCATCCATCAGTGCCTGTTTATTAGATCTAACAATGTAATAATCTAATAAAGACAAATGGCTGTGTGAATTATCCGTTCATCTACCAGTAGAGTCCCTACACGTATCAGTGGGCAAGGAGAACATTTTCAGGATCTTTTCTGTTAATAAAGCTGGCGAGGGAAATTATTGGAAACATTAAAGACTCTGTAATCCAACCCAGGCACGCAAACCTTCCCTCACAGCCCACCACGCGACTGATTGCTAACCACGAGCGTGTAGGCGAGTTTCTTAACTGTTCTTAGAGTTTTGTTTCCTCGTCTATAAACTGAGAGCAATAAAAGCTGCCTCCTGGGACTGCCGCAGAGATGAAGAGAGACTGCACCAGCTTCGTCTGAGATCTGATGCGCAGCGCGTGCCTCCCTTCCTCGTCCTCTCTTCCGCTGAGCGTGATAGTGATAATATAATGAAGCCACAGGAACAATGAGGGAAATACAGGACATGGGTCAGGGCAGAGTTCAGATCTATTATTGAGGTCCTAGGCTGTATACTATTAAAAACAGGCCAGAAAGTCGGAGGCTTTTAATTCAGTCTGTAAAGGGAAAAATATTACTCCCTCACAATCCTCACAATAGAGAAGCAAAGGAGCCTGAAAATAAAAGAGAGGATGGGGTGGGCTACCTGGGGTGCAGAGGGCCAGAGGGACAAGGAGGGAACAGGAGAGGTCTGTCTCGGGGTCTTTGACATCAAAGACTCTCTCTTCTGTCACTGGCAATTTTTTTTTTCACTGAACTATATCCCTCAAGGTACCATGTATTTGCAAAAGACTCCACACAAAGGATTAATTTCCTTAATATAAAAAGAACTTTTGGAAACCAGGAAAGTGTTCAAAGGACCTGAAAAAGCCACTCACAGTGGAAAAAAATGTAAAATGCCCATAGACATATGAAAATCTACATAAAATACTATAGTGGTATTTAATGATAACCTGGATGATGAATGAAGGGTCTGCCATACCCAATATCATTAAGACTGGGGGAGAGGGGGAGCGATTTTAGACACCCTGGTGGGTGTGTAGGTTGCTATGACTTTTGTGGAGGGTGATATGACAGTGCCCAAAAGAGGTTTTTAGAAACTAAGTTGCAGGCAATATATTTAGCATGGCCTCGTTTATATAAAAAGAAGATGTATGTGTGCATATTTATATTTATATGTACTTCTATAGTCACAAGAAAATTCAGGATACCAAAGAAGCCAATAATGGTGGTGGTTATTTCCAGAACTAATAGGTATTAAGTGTATATGCTTAATTTAATATCTTCCTAAAAATAACTTAAATGATTTTTGCCCTGAGTATAGATTAACAACAATAACAAAAAAAACTAAGTTGAAAAGAATCCATACGAATTAAGAGTACTGATAAGTTAAAAATAAAAATTTCTGGTTTCATTATTTTTGTTAATGATTTCGATAATTTGCACATATTAGAAGTGTATCCTTGATGTAACATGTGATATAAATCATCTGGTAACGAATCCCTATTAATATCCCTTTCCCAACTTCTCCCTCGATTTCTAAGCACACGGGTCCGACCTCTCCTTGGTATCTGCTCTTGAATGTCTAAGCGCCGCACACTGAATCCCGGATTCCCTTCCAGGAACCTGCTCTGACTGCAGCCTTGCCTTCTCAGCAAACGGCAATTAGACTCTCGGGCGCACCCTTAGGCAGTTATCTGTATTTCTCTAACTCTTAAGCCCGGGCTTGTGGCCCTGAACAAGCATCTGGGTCAGTAGTGCCGTGGACCATGACAAAGAGCGCCCTCTATGCCTAGCCCTGTTCCGGGTGGGTCACGTCAGCCCAGGGAAGGTGCTTCCTTGCTAACTCAGAGGCATCTCTGTGTTCTCAGGAATGCCCCCGAGAACCCCAAACCTCGGTTCACGTCCACAGAGGGGCTGTGTAAGCAGCGGCAGTCCTCCACGCCACTCGTGGGACACTGTCGCCACGTCTCATCTGAGGCACTGCCGCACTGCAGACTCCCACCATACCGTTTGACCAGAATTCCAGCAAAAGTGTCCTCTCCGTTCCTGGCCCTTCTGATCTACGGTGCGCACCAGCACCGGATGAAACCTTTCTACGGTCAAGCCGGATGCCGCGCCCCTCCTGCAAACTCAGTCTTGAGCTTCTTCTCTTAATGGCAGCGAAATCCAAAACCTGCCCTGACCAACCAGGCCTGGGCTCCGGCCCTCCCCAGCATCCTTAGCATGTCCTGGCTCTGGGGTGCCCACACTGCCCTCTAAGGTTAAGCGCACGAATCTCCTCCTCTGGCCATTACGCCTGCACTTTCTGTTCCTTGTCTGGAAATGTTTATCCAGACAGCCCCCTGACCGTCCTGGTACATCTACGCTAATGCACCTTTACCAGGGAAGTAAGTCCCCAGCATGTGTCAAAGTTCAGCCCGCTTACTTCTTTGTCTTCGAAGTACTCATTGCTACCAAATACTAATCGTGCATGTGTTGATTTGCTTTTGGTAATAGCAACGATCTACTGAGGACCTTCTATGCGGTGGTGCCATGCCAAGCACTCCACATCTCACTTATGGTCTGTAAATGTCCTTTTTTAAAAAAGATTTATCTATTTATTATATATAGTATTCTGCTGGCATATATCCCTGCCTTCCAGAAGAGGGCACCAGATCTCATTATAAATGGTTGTGAGCCACCATGTGGATGCTGGGAATTGAACTCAGGACCTCTGGAAGAGCAGTCAATGCTCTTAACCTCCGAGCCATCTCTCCAGCCCCAAATGTCCTTTTTTTTTTTTTTGAGACAGGACCTTGTTATATAGCCTAGGCTGGCTTCAAACCCTTTAGGCCTCCTGCTCTAGCGTCTCGTGTGCTGGGATGGTCACCAACACATATGTAGGCATATGTCACCATACTTATTGTAAACACCTGTTTTCACAGGTCAAATAATCACAAAACTTTTCCCTCGGAAATTCCATCTGATTGATGTGAAGGCTAAATATTTTTGTGTTTGCCTGTAATGGAATAGGGTGGAATAACAAATGCTGAATGAAAACCTAAATTCCTTCCATAGAAAGCTCCATGTAAATGGAAAATGTCTTGAACATAGATAGCTATGGAGCAAGAAGGCATGCTCTGGGGACAAAGTTCTAGACTACTGTGCCTTTACTCCCCACTACTGCCTCTCTCGAGACAGGAAAACCAAACTTCCTGTGTCAAGAGCTGTAGCTGCTCAGGACAGGAAGTCTGCATCATGACCTAAATTCTGAAGTAACCACTAGCCGGCTGCTGGGTGTGGGCATGGCAGCACTCAGTGGAACGCACCACCTCACCAGTCCGGGGTTTAGAAGCTCTTGTGATCCTCATCTTACCGGGGAGCGCCCAGAGGGGCAGTTATGCTAAGGGTAATGCAGCCTTGGGTGGAAGAACCAGGTTTCAGTACGACAGGCTGACCCAGGAGCCCCTTGGAGAGAGAAAGGGAAATTCAATATGGCAGTTTAGACGCATGTTCCTTGGCCTCTTATGGGGAGTTTCAAATATCCACAAAGAAGACAAAGTGGTAAAATGTCTTCCATATATCCTGTATCAGCTTCAGCCATTATCAACTCAGGCCATAGGTGATTTTTAAGCCAACTCAGGACCATCTAACCTTAAACTAAGAGCCCATTTCTAGTGACAGGAACATCCAGGTAGGACTGTAAATCAGATTTTCAGACTTTATTCTCTTCGTGACTTTCCAAACCATGGCCTCCCACTTTATGGTAAGTGGTAGTTATCGGTTCGGCTTACTGAGAAATCATGACTCCATGCTGAAGGGACCTGGGCCCAGTAGACAGCAGAGGGTTCTACATATATTTCCAAATCTGTTCCCTTCTCCATGGTGACAGGAATAGTAAATGATAGGAATTCCAGCTACGCCACCATGATCGCGCATGCCCGGGCCAGACACTTAGTCATTTCCGGGTCATACATCCTACATAATAATCCGTAAACTGCATGGTCACGTAAATTGTGCACAGTGTGACCACATGATCTGTGTGCGTGCATGGAGTAGCCATGTGGGCCCAGGTGCACATGCACAGGGGTAGTCCTTAAGAGGTGGATCCCATGTACACCCCCTCCTTCTCATGTGTCTTTCAGCAGGCCTGATCACACCCTGTCCTTTCCTCTTCCTAATAAAACTCTTGATAGTGGGTTTATGTTGTGATTCATGACTTTTCCTCGCAGGGTAAGAGCGCCGCACAAAACCAACAGTAAACACTTTCATTTCTGTTCACTGAACTTAGCCGAGGAGAACTTACGATGCATGTAGATACACAAAGGACAGAGGCCGGCACACTTAGGTTTAATAAAGAGAAGACCCACGGGGGAAGGAGAAACACAGGCAGGAGGCAGGGAGTGTCTCTAAAACAATAGCTGTAAGGAGGTACTTAGCCTCTGCACTTTCTCTTTTAATCCCCACAATTAAAAAAACAAAAACAAAAATCCATGTGTTGTTTTCAGGTTAAAGCAGCTTAGGATAAAACACAACACAATTAGTGCTACTAATTGCAGCTTTCCAGCCTGGATGATTTTGTGGCGTAGGCACGTGAAAATGCTCAGAATGGATCAAAAGCCAGATTTACCTACAGGACGGATTCCCCGTTTCCTCCATTGTTTGCAGCTTCTTTTTTTCCCCTTATTTTTTTCTCATACACTATATTTCGAGCATGTTTTTCCATTCCCCTAATCTCCTCCCGAGCCTCCCTCCTCCCTCCCACACAGCCTCATTTTCTTGTTCTCTCTCAGAACCAAAAATAAAATGCAAATAAAAACAAACCAGTAAAACATAAGAAATGCCAAAACGAAAAGCCCACAACAACAACCACCACCACCACCTAACCACCTGGTGTTCACTCTGCGCTGGCCGCCTTCTCCTGGGCAGGGGCCTGGCCTGTTCAGGAGTGTGGTTGATACACCCAGTGAGACTCCATCGGAGAGAATGGATTTTCCCTTTGCCACCAGGTAACTGTTGCAAACAGTTTCTTATGAGGGACGAATTTTACTATGGTAAGATGTCACTGGGAGTAGCAGACTTTAAAATGATTTAAATTATTAATTTAAACTAGATCAAGAAATATCTCATTAGGCAACTTAAATGCCTCAATCGTGATTCATTTACTTAAGCCTTTAAAGATGGAAACTATGGGCAGACAAGGAGAGGGCATTTGGGAGCCCAGCACATTTCAGGGATGCCACAAGTCCATCTGGAAATCTCCACAGCTGGAGTCTCCCCTTTGCATAACCTCATCTCTTGATTTAAAATTTTCAAGTGGAAGAAATGAATATGAGATTCTCTGAGCTGATAACCCTGGAGATCTGAATCATTCAGGCAGGAAATGGTACCTCAAAAAAGCAGGTCAGGTCTTTCTGTGGGTCAAGGTTTGGGGTATCTCTTTCAATTTCCCTGCTAGAATTCTCTCACCTAAGAACAGTAGGCCTTGGGTTTTATCAAGGTAGCAGCTCCAGCAAAGCCTGGAGAGGGTGACGAGCGTATTCATAGGTGTCCTGCAGTAAATAATTTCTAAGTGCCAGCTTGTCGAGCGAAGAATGAAATGGTTCTAGAACAGGTCCATCGGGGTCGTTCTGGTCAAAGTCACCCCCATCGTTTCAGGCTTCGGCTTCTGCTCCCTTGTAAGTTTGTGACCTCTGAGACAGAAGTCACACCATCTTCCTTATCTCCTCAAATCGGAACAAGTGGTTTCTGTTTCGCTCAGAGTAGGTCAGAGTTGTTAGCATGGACCGGGAGGTCCCGTGAGATGTCGTGGCGGTTGTCCCCCACTCTCTCCCTCACCACTGTCACCTCCTTGGTGGTCACACTGTTGTTCCGTGACATGCCAAGCATTCTCCGACGCCAGGATTCTACACTTGTGCCCAGATCTTCTGCCGGAGAGCAATGTGACCAGCTCAGGCCCCCTGTGCGAGCGTGGCATTCTCCGTCCTGTTAAATAGCACCTTCCCTGTCTGCCACCTCCATCCCCCAGCACAGGGATTCCAGTTCATTTTATTACCATCTGGCGTGCTATGGCTTGCCTGATGTCTCTCCTGTACGGGAAGCTCTGCAAGGCTTTGCTCCTTCCCTGGGACAGCTATCTCCTCCTAGGAAAGTGACGGGCGCTATTCCCAGCCAGTGTGTGTCTCACGGAGGAGAGAGACTCGTGGTGATAACTGTGAGGACGAAGTTGGCTGTTGACACACAGATGCCACCAGGTGCTCTTCTAATTGCTTTACCCAGATTAGCTCATGCCCTTCCCACAGGGGCCCTTGAGGAGGTACTGATATTCCTTTCTTCTGATGGATGGGGAGACAGACACAAGACGTTAGGTACCTGGCTAACCTCACACAACTGACAAACAAACTCAAAAGGGTCTTCAGAGCCTTAACTGCTTTGTCCTTTTTCCTTCACAGTGGGAGACAACATGTTCGGATGCGTCACTGATGAGAGGCGTGGCATTTAGGACCGCCTCTGCTCATCTTCTGTGGCCCCTGCCAGGCGCAGCACCGCCAAAGCCCAGTCTTGGCACGGTGTTACCACCATGCCACCCTCTCCTATGCGAGTGGAGACCCAGAGAGCTCAGAAGTGCGCCTCGCACACAGTAAACACAAAGCAAGTCATTTTATGGGGGAAAAAATGAGGATAGGATTTTTGGAAGCCTGGACCTCTGTCTCTTCTCAGCAGCAATGCAATCAGCTCCATGTTCAAAGGGCACGAGGATCCTGCTCTGAAAACCCACACGGCCTCACTAAAGGCATCTGTGTTCATCATTCTCCTTGTATCCTGTCCCACTGTATTTACTCAACAAAGGCATGTCTAAGTACCACCTCGACCTCTATGACCAGACCATGCCTGAGTGTTCAGCCTTCAGCAACACTGTGTGTGGGCAGGCAAGCTGGCTGTGGCTGGGTATGACTGCTAGGCAGCAGGGCTTTTTCAAACAGGGGCTAATCACTGAGGATGAACCAGATACCATCCGGAGCAGAGATACAGGAGTGGAGGAGCCTCCAGGAAGAGTTTTGGAGTCAACACTGCCCCCTTTGATTACCAGGGGGGGGGGGATGCTTTGCTAGTGAGAACTCTGTCCGGCCACCCAGACCTCTCCAGCATGAAAAGGAGCCCGGGAACCTCCTCTGAGGATAGTGCAAACCAGGAAGAATGATACAGTTGCTCTTCTAAACCTGCTCCTTTTCTCACACAGTTTTGTTTAAAATCCACACAGGTTTTAATTGTGACATTTGAAAATGTGACATTTGATTATTCATAGATTTAATGCTTGCATGTTACTCTCCATAATCAGATCTCTTCAGCTGAAATGTTTCCTTTATATAAAAAAATGATTAAAGCTTATGGTGATCATTTATTACTCCTTCCATGGTAGTGACTTTATGTAGGCGTCATCTTTTTATTTGTCCCCATTCTACAGATGAGGACACTGAGGACAAGGTAGGTGACTGTATCTAAGGTGAAGCTGGTGAAGCAGTCCCTCTCGGCAGCACATGCTTTAACCCTCTGCTGTTTTCATTAGCACTGATCACGGCCCTTCTGGGCTACATCTCAAGAGCAGGCGAAGTTTCTGGAACTTGTTCTTTGTGAGACAAACAGAGGAAGCTGCCCACGGCAGTTCGCTTACCGCTAAGTGGAGTGGACTCTTGGGAGCGACGCAATCTGATTCTTCAAAACCAGTGTTGGTTCTTTCCAAAAGCTGTCGAGACAAACAGATAAATAAATAAATGTGAGAGTCACCAAGGAATTGTGGTTTCTGGTTCCGAGCATGGATGATCGAGAAGGGAGCTTCAGAAGTTAAGACATTTTACAGTGTACCAGCAAATGAAGTCCAGAGATCAAGTATCACCAGCTCCATCTGACCTGCAAACCAAGTGTTCAAGTTTCCAGATCAACCTGGCATTTGCCAGCTACTCAAGAGATGTTTGTACATGAAATGCTGCTTCTTTGTCAGTTCAGAAAAAAAAATCATGTATAGTCCATCCATTTCACTGAGAGAATCCATAATAATGAAAAATGATAGTGTTTATTCCATTATCAAACACACGCTGACTGAAAATACTGTTGGAAAAGACAGGCTAGTCTCCTTATTGTCGCGAAGCTTACAGTTTAGAAAAAGAAATCAAACACAAATAAATATACAAACCCGGAAGCATTTGAAGTGCCGTGTGCCGCCATGAACATAAAACGTAGTACGTGATGGTAGAGCATGAGGCTGAGGGTTAACCTGGACCCATGGCAAGGGAAGGCCTCTCCAAGGTGACATTTAGAGTCTTAAATGATGAGACTTAAGAGAGGCAACATTGTAACAAGAGACGACTGGGAGAAAGGTCAATGAAATACACGAAGTGGCAACATGCTGAGTTAAAATCTTATGGTGCTGGGGAGTGTGATTGGATGATGGCATGCTCATGGACTACTGTTAAACCTTTTTGTCTATTCATCATAGGAATTCATCCCCCGATAAATAGTTAGATGAGGCATGCATGGAGAAATGCACTCACGCAACAAACATTTAGTGAATGATTATCGTGCACAATGATAATATTGTACAATGACTGAAGATTCAATAGTAAAATAAGAGTCAACTTTCTCAAGGAGGAAGTTATACAGTGAGAAGTTAGAGTTCATTATATACTACAAGGTGTTGTGAAAAATGAAGAAGAGGAGGGGTCTGGGGGGCAATCCTCTGCAACTTCACGTAGAGACGGGGCCGGCGTCACCGAGTAGATGGCCAAGCCTGACCTGGAACAGAGGAGACAGCCTTGTGGCCATCTGGGCATTCCAAGGAGAATGGTCAGCAACCAGCAAGTCCCTCAGAGACAGGTGTAACCAAGATCACCAAGGAGGCCAGAGCAATGTCGTGAGGAGATGAGAAGGCAGAGGAGGAATCGGGTGGGGAGAGAACGCTGGCAAGATCCTTGTGGGTTGTGGTCAAGATTCTGCCTTTGATCCAAGATGTGGCAGAAACTCACTAATGTGCTTTGAGCAGAGAAATAGCGTGATCTAAATGATTCCAGAGCTGGGATGGATGTATGAACACAGTTGTCATCAATGTCCACCCTAGACCCCTGGTGGGTGGGCGTGACTGCCCTATAAGGCGGGGTTAGACAATCCAAAGTGACATTTTCTAGATGCTCTAGAGCAAGAGCTCCAGACAGGATTTAAATTCTGGCGATGAAAGGCACTAATGGAAGTTTTGAAAACAGAAATGGACAGAATAAACCCCTGCTGTTATTCTGGTGAGGATCATGCCATTCTGGTGGGGATCATGGTTGTGGAGTTGTGTTTGCTTGTCTTTCAGCTTCTCATGTACAGGCCATGGAACAGTGCAGGTACAGAAGTAAGAGGTGGCCATGCCAGGCATCTGCTGTGGGGACAGGTGGATCCAGCCAAAACTCTGGATGGCTCTAGAGGTAGAAATGTTCCCGCATATCAGCAAGGATGGTGTGTCTTTGAATCCTCCACTGTAGTGGCTGCCCTGGGATTCACTCTCTCCAGGATTATGGGGAAGAGGCCACTCCCTAGCATAATGCCTCTGTTCAAGCTTATTCCTGGACGTCCAGCCTAGCCTCCACTTTCCTAAACGTTCCCGTACTCTTGCAACACCCACTAAATAAAATTATATCTTTCAGTCTTCAGCTAGGCAGCATGTTTTCATGGCCTGCAAATGAAGCCTGCACAGATGTTTACAGTGTTTTCTATTTTTAACTTTTTTTTGAGGGGGTGGGGGGGGTGTCAGTGTCTCACCATGTAGTCCTGGCTGGCCTGGAACTCACAGAGATCTACTGGCTTCTGCCTCTAAGTGCTGCAGTTACAGACTGTACCACCATACCTGGCAACGAAGGTTCTAATAACGACAGTGACGGAATTACAGTAGCCAAACCCTGAAAGGCGAAAGTTCCTAAAAAGAGTACCACCCATGTCTGTCCTTCAAACTCCTTAATGTGTCAGGTGAAACACGCAGTCCAAGGCTGCCCGTGCAACGGACACTATTTTCACTTGAAAACGAAGAGCAAACAGACGCGATGTACTCAGAAAACACCCTAGAAACGCACAGGCTAAGATGCTCAACACGATAACCCGCAAGGAGGACTGCAGAACGTTTAAGTTCCTCCTCCTGCTTCCTAACCCTTGTTCCCCCCAGAGTGAATGTATACTGTTACCGTGTCTCAGTGAGTTTCTGTCAGTTTGACACAAACAGACACACACATGGGAAGAGGGAACCTCCACTGAGAAATCGCCTCCATCAGCTCGGCTTGGGGACACGTCTGTGGGGCATTTTTTGAAGAGCTGCTGATTGACCCAGGCGGGCCCACCCACTGTGGGGGGTAGCACCCCTAGGCAGATGGGCCTGGGCTCTGTAAGAAAGTCGCTGAACAAGCCAGGAAAGCAAGCCAGTAAGAAGAGGTCCTCCATGGTCTCTGCTTCAGTTCCCGCCTTCAGGTTCCTGCCTTGAGTGCCTGCTTTGACTTTGATCAACGATATACTGTGAAGTGTAAAGCTGAAAGAAACCCTCTCCTCCTCCATGCTGGCTCTGGTCAGTGTTTTTTCCAGAGGAGAAACAAACTATAATCAGTATGTTGTATTTGAAAACAAGTTCTCAAGTTTCCATGAAATCAAAAGAACGATGCCCTGGGATCCTCAGGTGGCACAGAATGCCTTTCCAGAGTCAATATATATGGGACAAAATGTTGTGATTAAGAGGCTTTGGTAGATTAAATAACAAGTGTAGAAATTAATAGCTCAAAGCACACAATTTTCAGTTCATAGGTAACACATTATAAATAACTACATTAGAAGTGTGAGATACTTCATTTTCGTTCCTCGTTAATATGAGAATAGAACCTGGAACTTAAACAACTTAGGATGCACTAAAATAATAAACACAAATTTAATTTTAACTTCAAAGTACCGATTAAAAAACCATCTCTCGTACACGGCTGAAATCAAAGGAGTCTTCACTGCCCAATGGGGCCAGTAAACATCTGCTCTTTGTTTTGCAACATTATCACCTTCAAGACTTCCTGGAATTGACAGTGTACACCAGCTCCAAATCCTGTCCTAGAATGAACCTGTAACCGAAGGAACACAGAACCATTTCCCCACATTTACAACCCCAAGGAACAGGGGCAAGAAGACAATACACCGAGAATAGACACAGATTAGTTCTGTTCCCATGATGCTTATTTTGGAATAAGATTTTTCCACACACATAGTTTGATCATTCTACCAGCGTGTGATGCCTTATTTCACTCACTCAGCAAATATTTGCTGGAGGAAGCACCAGAACTCAATTTGTGCAGTGAGTAGATGCGGTTGCTGACCTGATAGAACGCAGAGGCTATCTGGGAACCCAGGGCGGTTAACGGGTAATTGAATCATTTGAGGCCGGAGATGGGATGGGATGACACAAAGACTCCATGAGAGTCCAAAGAAGGACCTGATGTACAACTGCAGTCAGAGAAAATAACATATAGCCCAAGGCCTAACGGTAGGAGCTATCTGGGCAGAGGAAGAAAGAAAGAAAGTCTGTTCAAGGCTGCAGGAGTCCAGGGAACAGGCCATGCATGTGGAGACCAGAGGACCATCTTGGGTGTCAGGCCACGCCTTCACCTTGTCTCAGACAGAGTCCATCTGTTGCTTGCCGTTGCATGTGCCTGGCTGGCTTGTGAGCTGGTAGGGGTTCTCCTGTCTCCAACCCCCATCATGCTCCTAGGATCACAGCTATGTGCCACTGGGTCTGACTTTTATATGGGTTCTGGGGCTTCAAATTCAGGCCTGCATGCTTGGGAGCCATCTCCCCAGCTCCTAGGATACTTTTTAAAGTATTTTAGGACAGTAGTTTTAAACCCAGACTTCAAATATGGATAGCTAGTCAGTCAATAAAGTGAACTGGGCAGGGAAGAGCCATGATTATGATAATATTCTTGGCTTTTATGATTAAAAGCCATTCTGGCTACACTGAGAACAATAACTACAGTTATGCCGGAAGTGAGGAATTCAACCCTAGAGACAGGGGGACAATTAAGGTATTTCCACTGTTAGATTTCTAAATCATGATTTAAGTTGGAGAGAACCAATATTCTCACACTGAGGAAAAAGCAATGGAAATAAAGGAAGCAGAAGTTTCATTTGTTCCTTTGTGAATCCATTCAGTAACTGTTTGCTGAGCGCTGTGGTAGGTAGGTAGAGATAATATCTCTTAACATAAACTCTGCCCCCACAGAACTTATAGTCTAGAAGGTAGAATACACCTGCTTCATTGGTCGAACATTCGAGAAAGGGGGTAGATTACAGTTAAGGATGACATCCATTCTCCAGCTTTGGTAACAGAAGACCTGGTAAACTTCTCTTTAAGATGAGAAAGGAGAGATCATGGGAGAGAACTATGCAGTGAATGATGAACAGTCTGAAGAACAGCTGGGTGAGTCAATGGGGTATATTTTGTTTAATGGATGGCTGAGTATAAGGCATGAGGCTCAGAATAGAGATCTTGCTTACAGCTTCCTCGTGTGAGAGATTATTCAGGAAGAATGCAGTGAGAGAGGGCAGAAGGATTGGGACTATAACTCTAAGAGTTCTACTACATAGGGATTTGTAATTGGAAGAGTGGCCACAGCAGGAATTAGGAGCAGACAGATGTAAGAGGAAACCAGCACAGTGAAATGATGATGATCATGATGTTGAAGGTACTGA